CGGGCGGCGGCCACATTGACATTGATCCGCCGCCGCGTTACGAAATGGCGCATTGGCCCGCAATGGCCGCCGCCTCGCTCTGCCGCCGGGAAAGAGAGCCTGGGATTGGAGAGAAGAGGGCGGAGGCGGCCCGGCAGAAAATGCCGCAAATGGCCTCGAAGCACGAGAAGGTAGTGCTTTCGCTGAAGTTCGGTGGACGCTTTTCTGGGCATTTTACCGGTTTTCTCCGCGAGGAGAAGTCGATAATTGGCCTGTTCTTTTCTTCGCAGCATCCTGTTGGAAATACGAGATTGTTAAAAACTTTGCTGCTTTAGAATACTTCCTGTTTTTGCTGAAGTAGTTACATTACACTTCTCAAACCGCCATGTGGGCGAAGAACTTAGTATTTGAGAACTTGAGTGCAGATGTGAAAAACAACCCAGCCAGCTTTTTACCGACCCCGGCCGTTGGGGAGGGTGGGTGGAGAAGAATTTGAGTGTAGATGTTAAGGAAGAATTTTAAAATGTTTTTTATCTTCATGTTTTCCCATTCTTTGAGTCGGCTCTGCTTGTAGTTTCCTGGAATTTTATTTAGAGGACTGCAACCAAAGTTGAAATTTTCACTTGTTTGCAGTACATTTAATGTGGATCCTAAATATTTTTGTCGATTTCGTTATTGTCAATCGAATACATTTATCCAAGACTTGAAAAGATGAGACTACATGAATTAATGCTTTAGGCTCTTAACATTTTTTTCTAGCATGTGACAATCTCTTCACATTAAATGCCTTAACATCTCTACCTCTAGAAGACACTTGAAGACATGAGAATGTAAATGTGAGCCCCCTTATTTAAGGACTTCGGGTGAAGGAAACCTTAATGCATGCATTAAATGACAGTTCATGCAATGTGTTAAGAAGTCTGACTGAAGTATAAAATTTCAAGACATCCTAATTCTTAAAAATCTCAATTTTTGTTTTGCTATGCTCCGTTCTTATAGTCAGACAACACATACCATTCCTAATGTAAGTTCAACTTGGCAGTTTGTTGTGACTCTTAAAATTGAGTCATAAAATGAAGATTTTTGCAGCATATAACAAAGATGGGTTATAGAAAGCTATTTGGTCGGCTTTTTTTTTTTTTTCCTCTTAGTTTTTTTGGGAGATGCTGGTTTGGCTTAGGAATGCCTATTTTAAATTAATTTGCTTGAAAGCAGTGAGTGTCTGTAAGTTTGACATTTAGAACTTTTAGATTGTTCATCACAATTTGGAGTTTAAAATTAAAAGCATGTTGGGATGTAGACTGAGAAGAGTTGAAGTGGGATAGATGCAACACTGCTTCTCCAGCAGTTTAGTGCCTTAGAAAATGACTTCTCATTAGCAACTTCTAAAGTAAAGGTTTTCAGACAATTGCAGCTTTTAAAAAATGAAGGGTTTTTAGATTCTGGATTTGTCTTGGATTTCAGTTTAGTTGAAGTGATGTTGGCATTTGAAAGGCTGGTTATAGGTTTCCTTGACAGAGTTAGCCCTTTTAACAGTTGAAGTCTGTATTTCTGGTCAAAGTTTTTGTTGTTTATTTTTTTGTTGTTGTTTTGTTTTTGTTGAGACGGAGTATCGCTCCTATCGCCCAGGCTGGAGTGTAATGACACGATCTTGGCTCACTGCATCCTCCGCCTCCTGGCTTCAAGCGATTCTCCTGCCTCAGCTTCCCGAGTAGCTGGGATTACTGACGCCTGCCACCGCGCCCAGCTAGTTTTTGTGTTTTTAGTAGAGATGAGGTTTCGCCATGTTGGACAGGCTGGTCTTGAACTCCTGATCCCAGGAGATCCACCTGCCTCGGCCTCCCAACGTGTTGGGATTACAGGCATGAGCCACCGCGCCCAGTGTCTGGTCAAAGTTTTAACTGGACAAAGTGTTAATTGTCACAGGAATTTGATGTTGATTTTATTACTTACAGTACATTAAAGGCTCTTCGTGCATCTTAATCCATCTACAGTAAGATAATTTAAGAGTATTGGTTCTTTCTCTCAGGGCCATGATCCAAAGGAACCAGAGCAGTTGAGAAAACTGTTTATTGGTGGTCTGAGCTTTGAAACTACAGATGATAGTTTAAGAGAACATTTTGAGAAATGGGGCACACTCACAGATTGTGT